TCATCATCTCTCCAATATATCATACAACCCCTACTACATACATCAATCCTTACAACCGGAAGACCTAAGTTATCCACTAGCTTTTTCATATCATAAAAATCACTTGGCATGATGTTATCACGAGGCAATGATTCCCGCATTACTTCAACAAAAGAGTTGAAGCAATCCACAGACACATTATGCTCTGCCTTAATATTTAATAGTCGGGCTGTCACCGATAACTTAGTGTGGTCCTCACAACCTGGCCATAAAGGTTCATCTGCTGCTTTCAACACATACCGGAACTGATTAGATTGAAAAGTTTTATTATAGACATTCTCATCAAAACCCGTTACTCCTATATCTTTCAATTGTGAAGCATGACTAGTACCCACTTGTTCACGTATAGGAGTAAAACTAGTACTTGCATGATTTGATTCTGTGACAAAATTATAACTAGCTGGATCAATCACCATCCTCTCGTATGGGTTCAATTGCTCATAATAGCCACATTCTTCCTTAACTGAAAATTGGTCACTTCTTCCATATCCTTCATCAGATATAAATGGTTCACCATGGGAAGTCCAATTATAATAGTTCGGACTAAACCCAAATCTAGTAAGGTGTTCTCTAACTTGATCACACACAAGAAATTTACCATTACCGCACTTTTTACACGGACACCTTAACTTATTTCCATCCATGAACTCATATTTACTACTAGCAAAATCTAAAAATAGTTCCAACCCAGTACGAAACTCATTTGTCAATCCTTGACGTCCAGGTAAGTTCTTATTATATATCAAAGCCCTTTCTCTTTGCATTGTGTCTGTATTAAAATAAAAAATTATGGTAAAATATTTAAAATATCATATCTATTGTTCTTAATTAAAATCATAAAATTTTTGAAATTATAATTTTTGTTATTCACGCAACAATTAATATGAAATTGCAAAAATAGAAAAAATTACCATGTAAAGAAGACTTACCCAAATATTTGATTGAAATATTGATAGGAGAAAGTGGTCAATTTGATGAGAATTGCAACGTCCACTTGGATTGCGAGACCTTCAATTAGACACATACCCAAAAAGAATAATCACTGAAGAATCATTTTTTAATAATTTTTAATGTGCGATGGAAATGGAATTCATCCGTCGCAAATTTGCGACGGAATCAAGGATCCGTCGCAAATTTACGACGGATTTCCTTTATTCCGTCGCAAATTTGCGACGGATTGCCTTTATTCCGTCGCAAATTTGCGACGAATATCCTTGATTCCGTCGCAAATTTGCGACGGAATTTTCACTTATTCGTCGCAAATTTGCGACGGAAATGGCCGTTCTGCCTCATCCAAAGGCCGGCGAGGTGTCCACGGTCGTTCAACCGGTGATGCAGATACGAAAAAAAAACAAACATAAACATATATAAAATAAAAGAAATTACAATTCAACGATGAATAGTCATGGAGCTAGCTAATGATACTTACCGGTACAAAAGCTTCACCGAGATTAATATATGCGTGTGCGAATTTTGCTGATTTCAGACATATGAAAGAGGGAGAAAAGCGAGAGAGAGCGAGAGAGAGCGAGAGAGAGAGATAGGGCTGGAATATCACGGGTTAATAAACTACAAATTTGCGACGGACGTGCGTTTTCGTCGCAAATTTGCGACGGATTTGGCGACGGTTTTTTTTTTCGTCGGAAATTTGCGACGAAAATTTTGCGACGGATTTATTTTCCATTGCAAATTTGCGACGAACTTATTTCCGTTGCAAATTTGCGACGGTTTTTTTTTCCGTCGCAAATTTGCGACGAACTTTTTTCCGTCGCAAATTTGCGACGGAATTAGCGACGGTTTTTTATTTTCGTCGCAAATTTGTGACGGAATTTGCGACGTATAAAAATTCCGTCGCAAATTAGCGACGATTTATTTCCGTCGCAAATTTGCGACGAAAAATATAATCCGTCGCAAATTTCGTCGCAAATAATTTCCATCGCAAATTACATGTTTTTTTGTAGTGAATTGGGTCAGAGGAGCCGAAGAATTGAGTTGTGAAAGTGCATGAGTATGAGATGAAGTGGGAATCGAATAGATGACCGAACGAATAGCTTGAAGAATATGCTAGAAACTCTTTTTCTGTTTTCTCTGTCTTTGTGTGAACAACTCTGTCCTTTGGTTGTTCTAAAATTAACTACTCTTTTAAGTGAGACTTAATATATGTGTCATTGTTTTTAGATTTGTGATCGGTCTGGTTATGAGTAGCCCAATTATAATTCTTTCAATTATTAAATATCGTCATCGTCATCATTCACAATCATCATAACTATTATTATTATTATTATTATCATAATTTAAAGTAGCTTTATTTAGTTAAGTAATAATAAAAGCCAGCAATATTTAATCTCATCAAAGGAAAAGAGTCAAAATTCTTATAGGGGCCTCAACGGCATGTTCCCATCCTTTAAGACAGACTCCATGAACGTATTTCTTATTTTAACTTGTCGATGCCCGTACACTTTGTATCCACAATTTCTACCGTATCTTTTTCTTCTCTAGCGAGACGGATTACCCTCTGAAATATTTACATTCCGGTAATCCTGAGATCCGGACGAAAACCAAGATGAAGTATTTTAATGACTTGCTTAGGTCCTAGTTAAGTAATCATAGAAGCTAGAAATATATTTCATGATAAGGACATGAGAGGTGTAAAAGCGTGCGAAGAATAATACTTAATTGGGGGAAAATTGTCAAAAAAGTCATAAACGTGTTACACTTTTGCCAATTTAGTCCCAAACATTTTCACTTCTTGCCAATTAAATCCTAAACATTTTCACTTCTTGCCAATTGAGTCCATCGAGCCAATTTTGGCCGACCGGTGCTAATGTGGCTGCCGACAGGCGCTGGCCATTTGGTCAACGTTGATGTGGCAATTTTTAAATATTTTTTTGAATTTTTTAATCTTTTTTCTTTTTTTTATGCCCTTCTTCCTTCTGGCTAGTCCGGCGATTTGCCAGAGGCACAGGTTGGCGAGGTCAACCTCACCGACCTCTGGCAAAGATCGCCCTCGACGGCCACTGGCAATGGCGAGCTTCGTCCGTCACTGCCAGGACGACCTCGCCGCCGCTGGGTGAGGTGAAACCCAGCAAGGGCGAGGTGAGGCCCAACGACGGCGAGGTCGGCCTCGCCTTGGCTGGGCGAGGTCGACTTGGCAGCGGCGGGCGAGGCTCGCCCTCACCAGTGGTCGGCGGGGGCAAGGTCGGCCTGGCAGCAGCGACAAGGCTCGCCCTCGCTAGTGGTTGACGGGGGCGAGATTCGCCAGAGGCGACGCGGTCGACCTCGCCGGCCTGCACCTCTAGCCGATCGTTGGTTGCCGAATAGTCTAGAGGGAAGAAGGCAGACACTACAAAAAAACTGGGATTTTGCCACGAAAATTTGTGACGAAAAATTTTTCGTCGCAAATTTCCGACGAAATTAGCGACGAAACACTTTTCGTGGCAAATTTCCGACGATTTTTGCGACGAAATATTTTTCGTCACAAATTTCCGACGATTTTTGCGACGAAAACTTTTTCGTCGCTAATTTCCGACGATTTTGGCGATGAAAAATTTTTCGTCGCTAATTTCCGACGAATTTTGCCACGAATTTAAAGTTTCCGGGCAATTATTGCACTATGTACTATTTTCGTGGCAAAATTCGTGGGAAATTTCCCACGAATTTTGCCACGAAATTCAAACACCCAGTATGATGGCTTTTTTTTTTAATTTCGTGGCAAAATTTGTGGGAAATTTCCCACGAATTTTGCCACGAAATTCAAACACCCCTTATGTTGGTGGCTTTTTTTAAATTCGTGGCAAAATTCGTCGGAAATTTCCGACGAATTTGGCCACGAAATTTAAATATACGGTATGTTGGCGTCTTTTTTAAATTCGTGGCAAAATTCGTTGGAAATTTCCGACAAATTTTGCCACGAATTTAAAGTTTCGTCGGAAAATTATTGCACCGTGTTCTATTTTCGTGGTAAAATTCGTGGGAAATTTCCCATGAATTTTGCCACGAAATTCAAACACCCCTTATGTTGGTTCGTGGCAAAATTCGTCGGAAATTTCCGACGAATTTTGCCACGAAATTTAAATATGCGGTATGTTGGCGTATTTTTTAAATTCGTGGCAAAATTCGTTGGAAATTTCCGACGAATTTTGCCACGAATTTAAAGTTTCGTCAGAAAATTATTGCACCGTGTACTATTTTCGTGGCAAAATTCGTGGGAAATTTCCCATGAATTTTGCCACGAAATTCAAACACCCCTTATGTTGGTTCGTGGCAAAATTCGTCGGAAATTTCCGACGAATTTTGCCACGAAATTTAAATATGCGGTATGTTGGCGTATTTTTTAAATTCGTGGCAAAATTCGTTGAAAATTTCCGACGAATTTTGCCACGAATTTAAAGTTTCGTCGGAAAATTATTGCACCGTGTACTATTTTCGTGGCAAAATTTCGTGGGAAATTTCCCACGAATTTTGCCACGAAATTCAAACACCCTTTATGTTGGCGGCTTTTTTTAAATTCGTGGCAAAATTCGTCGGAAATTAAATATGCGGTATGTTGGCGTCATTTTTAAATTCGTGGCAAAATTCGTTGAAAATTTCCGACGAATTTTGCCACAAATTTAAAGTTTCGTCAGAAAATTATTGCACCGTGTACTATTTTCGTGGCAAAATTCGTGGGAAATTTCCCACGAATTTTGCCACGAAATTCAAACACCCCTTATGTTGGTTCGTGGCAAAATTCGTCGGAAATTTCCGACGAATTTTGCCACGAAATTTAAATATGCGGTATGTTGGTGTATTTTTTAAATTCGTGGCAAAATTCGTTGGAAATTTCCGACGAATTTTGCCACGAATTTAAAGTTTCGTTGGAAAATTATTGCACCGTGTACTATTTTCGTGGCAAAATTCGTGGGAAATTTCCCACGAATTTTGCCATGAAATTCAAACGCCCCTTATGTTGGCGGCTTTTTTTAAATTCGTGCACCCTCCTCCATAGCTTCTTCCTCATTCAAAAAAATCTCACCTAAAACCCTAGGCGACAACCGGACCCCCGAAACCCCCCGGCCATCGGAGCTCCTCCTCGCTCGAGCTGCAGCTTCCCCATGGAGTAGAATCAGGAGACGCTCCAGTTCCTCTCCCAGTGCTTCCTCCACACCCTCTCCCCCTCCCCCGCCCCTCGTCGCCAAGCCGAGTCCTCCTTTGCCGACGCCGCCGACCGCCCCAGCTACGCCCTCGCCGTCCTCCGCCTTGTTGCCGTGCCCTCCGTCGACGAGCAGATCCGCCAGGCCGCCGCCTTTAACTTCAAGAACCACCTCCGCGCCCGCTGGAACTCCTCGCCTACCCCCCACGATGCCGCCGCCGCCCCGGCCGCCTCCTCGACCCCGATCCCCGATGCCGAGAAGGAGCAAATCAAGGCCCTCATCGTCCCCCTGATGCTGTCCTCGTCGGCCCGTATCCAGACCACCCATGGTGCGATTCCGGCCGGGGGAGGGGGGGGGTCGCAGCTGCGATTCCCGGCGGGGGGGTCGCGGCCGCGATTCCGGCGGGGGGGTCGCGGCCGCGATTCCGGTCGGGGGGGGTCGCGGCCGTGATTCCGGCATGGGGGTCGCGGCCACGATTCCGGCGAAAATTCAAATTTATCAACGAAAATTCAAATTTACCAACGAAAATTCAAATTTTCGTCATCAAAATTTGCGAAAAAAAAATTTCCGACGAATTTTTTTGTTCGTGGCAAAATACCGGGTTTTTCAATTTCGTGGCAAAATTCGTGGGAAATTTTTCACAAATTTTGCCACGAAATTGAAAAAAGCCGCCTATGCCGAAAATTTTAATTTCGTGGCAAAATTCGTGGGAAACTTCCCATGAATTTTGCCACGACTCTGTTTTCGTGGCAAATTACCAACGAAAAATTAAAAAAAAATTTCGCAAAAAATTTCCGACGCCGAATTAGCAATGAATTTTTTTTCGTCGCTAATTCGTCGGAAATTCGTTTTGTCACGAATTTTACCACGAAAATTACCGACGAATTTTGCCACGATTTTTGCAACGAATAATTAGCGACGAATTTTCCAACGAACTTTCCAACGAATTTTGCGACGAATTTTGAGACGAAAAAATTTCGTCCCAAATTACCAACGAAAATTTAAATTTTTTGTCGCAAAAATTTGCTACGACGAATTACCAACGAATTTTTGTTAGTCGCTAATTTCGTTGGAAATTCGTTTTCCAACGAATTTTGCAAAATTTTTCGTTGGAAAATTCGTGGCAAAACCCTTGTTTTTTTGTAGTGAGAGAAAGAAAAGAAAGAAAAGAAAGAAAATATTTAAAAATTATTTAAAAATGTCACGTCAGTACTGGCCGGCCAAAATTGCCTGGATAGAGTCAATTAGCAAGAAGTGAAAAAGGTTTATGATTGAATTGACAAAAGTATAATAGGTTTATGACTTTTTGGACAATTTTCCCACTTAATTGGTATTGAAAAGATCTCGTGATATTCCATTTCTTGAGCTTTTTATATAGCCAAGAAGAGGGAATTTCTCACTTTTATATGCGGTGCTTAATTTTTGTTAAAATGAAAAGGATATTGCATGTAGCAGAAAAGGAAAAGAGCTACTAATCTTTCTTATGCTATATGGCCCATGATAAGGAATGGGTTTACACAGAGGTTGGGAATAAAGAATGATTGGCCGATAAAAGAGGAAATTAAAAAATAAGTACTTATATGCTCAGTTGGATTCACGTGAAGAATTAATGTTTACTATAGCTAATTATAACCTAGGAGACCACAAGTGCTATGATAATCGATTGTTAAATTAGTACCTAATTAAGTTTAAAGGGCAATGATTTAATTAGACAATCATACTGAATTAGATCTCAAATTTAGACTTACAGTAGCAAATGCAAAAGTTAAGCATCATATGTTAGTCCTATTAACCACCTTCTTTTTTATTACTATGACGGTTGATGAATGTTTTTTTCCCTTGATTTAATGCTTGATAGAATAAATTGTAGCCTTATTGGGAGATAGATAAGCACATTTTATTGAAATCACACAATTATTGGCTATTTAACTGTATTTCTGTATTCGACAAAAAAAAATGTATTTCTGTAAAGTAAAAAATGTACACGTTCAAGAAAAGCTAATTTAATTAACTCACTTGTGGATGATATTAGATAGAGACCTGCGTTGTTTCCTTCACTTTTGGGCGTTGAGCTCTCTCGTTTGTCATTTTAGGAGTCATGAACAAGTGTACAAATTAGTAAGTTGGAAATTTTTAAAAGGGTTAATACCATGAAAAACTCAAACTAGTACGCCTAAGACAAATTTACCCCAAACTAATATTTTGACCACGCAAAACCCAGAATTAGTACACTTGTGACAAATTTATCAAAAACTGATACATTTGTGACAAATTTACCCTCTATTAGTTTCCGTTAAATTGAATTAATATAACGAAAAACCACAAACTAGTACACATGTAACAAATAGAGAGTAAAGCCCCATATTGGTACACCCATCAACTAACACGTGTCATCTAAGTCAATAATTTGACGATAAAATTTAACGGAATCTAACGGAGGGTAAATTTATCACAGGTGTACCAGTTTGTGGTTTTTCGTGATAAAAAAATTAGTTTGTAATAAGTTTGTCACAAACATACCGATTTAAAGTTTTTCGTGATATTAAGCCTTGTGAAAAGGAAGTATTCTGTCTACATTGCAATAATAATGGTATGCTACTTCGTTCAACTTTTCTATATGTATAGTTATTTTAAAGTATCCCACGTCATTTAACTTATCTACGGGATTTATATACTTTTTATATACTCGTGGTCTCTCTCTATCTATAAGCTTCAGTTTTTAGGTTAAACTTTTGAATATTGGATTAGAGCTAGGTTCTTGCCCAATTTATTTAGAATGTGAGGCCATCTCGTTTGTCTAATTCCACATGTAATGTCATCTCCCCATATTTTTCATGTTTCCTGTTTTTTTTTTTTTGCGCAAGCCCAAAAGTTAACATAGAATTTAGGTGAAATACTACTTCTATGAATGGGGCGATTATCCCAAGATATATATATATATATATATATATATATATATATATATATATATATATCAATTGCTTTTTTAGTTTTATTGTTTTTTCACTTTGAACGAAACAAAGTCAAGCGTGATAAGCTTCGGTCCATGGCATGCTATGCTGAGAAATTGCTTAAATCTTTCATTGTGGGGTGCTTCTACACCTTTTTCTTTTCGGCCAGAAATGCGACTAGACCTAAAAAGAAGACACTTTCTTTTTCAGTTTGGCACCGTAAATTTAACGTCGTGTGGAATCTATATCTACTATCTAGAATTGGGTATTGGTATATACTCAACTAAAAGGCAACGAAGGCACGAGGACGTGCTAAATTTAGGATAGTGTGGCTGCTTGTAACAAAGCAAAATGAAAAATTCTAATGCGGACTAGTTGATCACCGGCCAAAAAAAATTCAAAAATTTAGGTCAGTTCATTAGGGAAATTTTGCATATGAATTATACAAAAAAGTGTACACAATCGGTTGATATTTTATTGATTAATTACCCCTTATATAAATAAAAATAATGCCTTAGTAAAGACTCCAGTCCTAATTAGCAGTAGATGAAAACTAGGTCGAAGCAATGCTAGAGCAATTGTGCCATTTTAAGGTTAATAAAGTCCGGGAGCTTGTGCCGAGACCAAAAGATCATCACATGATAGGAACCAAATATTCTCTACAATTATTGACCAAAAGAGCATGATCTTCTTCATGAATCTTCGTCTTGTCCAGAGTTGCTTTGCCTGATGTGATTTTTCTCATATCAATCGAATTTCCTTAACAAAAAAGCGAATCACGTATTATGTATTTTATTGATTAATTACCCCTTATATAAATAAAAATAATGCCCTAGTAAAGACTCCGTTTCTAATTAGCAATAAATGAAAACTAGGTGGAAGCAATGCTAGAGGAATTGTGCCATTTTAAGGTTAATAAGGTCCGAGAGCTTCTGCCGAGACCAAAAGATCATAACATGATAAGAACAAAATATTCTCCGCAAATATCGATCAAAAGAGCACGATGTTCTTTATGAATCTTCGTTTTGTCCAGAGTTGCTTTGCCTGTTGTGATTTTCTCATATCAATCAAACTTCCTTAACAAAAAAGCGAATCGCGTGTTGGAATTTCATTCGATAGTTTCAGCCCGTCATGTCTAGCATATCCCGCTTCACGAATAAAGATCGCTAAGAAAATTTAATTTAAGGCCATGCTAGGAAGAACGAAAAAAAAGGTCCAGAACATAAATATTTCCTGCCTAATTAATCGTAACCATGTTGTAAGGCAACGCAAGACTTCATGTACACGTTGGACGATGTCAAAAGTGCCCCTATTATAAGTTTTCCAAGCAGAACTACGTCATAATCGTCCACGTCATCGGTCAAAGTCTACTAGATTTTCAGCGTGGGTCCCGCATATTGGTTGCTTCCTAGGAATTGCACCGCATGGGAAAGAACTTGGGATGTGATTCTTGTCATGTCGTTGTCGTCCACTACGGCTTTTGTGTCGTGTTTTTTAATTTCATTGAACATGTTCATCCCGGTGAATCACTTCATCTTTCTTGACTTTTTGGGCAATGCCGAGCAATAATGGAGAAAAATATTGAATGACTCGCAAGCATTATGTCATCTACAGTGAATTGTGATTTTTCTTCGTCAGCGTATGCTTGCGCATTTGAAATGACTTGACCATTTTGTATTTCTATCGAATTATCATCGCGGGATCACTATGTGATAAAGAATTTAGCGGATTCAATAAAGTGAACCGTTGGTGTCTGTGCCTTAATTCAGAAAATCAACACCATCCTTCTACTTTCTTTTTTATTCAAAATCATCCAAGTGCTTTTAAAATTGTCTTCCTGATCGATTCTGTGATAGAATTTGCTGACGTGATGTTAATATCATAAAAATTTGCTGATATCCTTTAACGATGTTAAAATTTTGTTGATTTGAAATATTTTGTACTTTTATCTTCAATTTTCTCCCTCTTTCTCCTTGTGGCTATCATCATTAATCATCTTCTTCTTCAACCTAAACCCTTCCAAATTCAAACCAAAATCAAAAAAATCTAACAACCCCACCAATACAAATCCTTGATCAGCCATAGACTCTAGACGATATGACCAATTAAGCTCAACGAAACTCGAAGTTTAGGAAGGTAATATGTAATTTTCCCAAAGTAAGGGGTTAGTGGGCAACAGGTGCCAAAAGTTGGGAGGGGATAATTTGTAACTTTTCAAAGTTTAAAAATACGAAACTTTTTGTTAGGTCTAGGGCGGAAACTATTATGTTTAGAGTTTTCGATCAAAACACTTGGCACTGCTTTTCATAATACAATTTCTTATATTGGCGGGGCCGATGTCGGAAATGCGCAATATGTAACCAATCACTCTAATAATTCTCATTTTATGGCACATGCGTAATTAATAAACACGTCCATGTATGACAATTGACATGCAACTGATTATATATGACACCGATGAGGGTCAAAAAGTTTTTTTTTTTTTTTTTTTGGTAAGGTGATGAGGGTCAAAAAGTTGGTCATACTTTAATCCAAAATTCTCAGACACGCCACAATTCCCTTATTAAATACCTACACATTTCCAAACACTTTTGGCCAAACAAACAGCAATCTCTCTCTGTCTCTCTCTCTCTCTCTCTCTCTCTCGCACATACAGAATGGGCAACTGTGCAGCTCCTCAGATCACCAGAAATGGTGGCCTTCCCATGACCACCCATCACCAGGGCTGGTCATCATCATCTCCATCCACGGTCAAGCTCATTAACATGGACGGAAGGCTGCAAGAGTTCACTCAAACCATGAAGGCTTCTCACCTCCTCTCCCAAAACCCTGACTGCTTCCTCTGCAGCTCAGAGTCCATGTTCATTGACACCATAGTCCCTCAAATTCATGAAGAAGAAGACCTCTGTTTGGGCCAACTCTATTTCCTCTTGCCTCTCTCCATGTCCCGAGTCCCGCTCTCTTTCCGAGAGCTCTGCTTGCTCGCCATCAAGGCCAGCGCCGTGCTCGAGAGCAGCTCGAGTTCGAGGAGAACGAAGGATGGAGGTCCATCAGTGGTGGCTCGTCGGAGACGGTGTCGAGCTCCCACCGGGTTCGACGCCACGAGACTAGAATTGGGTCAGAGGAGCCAAAGAATTGAGTTGTGAAAGTGCATGAGTATGAGATGATGTGGGAATCGAATAGATGACCGAACGAATAGCTTGAAGAATATGCTAGAAACTCTTTTTCTTTTTTCTGTCTTTGTGTGAACAACTCTTTTCTTTGGTTGTTCTAAAATTAACTACTCTTTTAAGTGAGACTTAATATATGTCATTGTTTTTAGATTTGTGATCGGTCTGATTATGAGTAGCCCAATTATAATTCTTTCAATTATTAAATATCGTCATCGTCATCATTCACAATCATCATAACTATTATTATTATTATTATTATTATTATTATTTAAAGTAGCTTTATTTAGTTAAATAATAATAAAAGCCAGCAATATTTAATCTCATCAAAGGAAAAGAGTCGAAATTCTTATAGGGGCCTCCACGGCATGTTCCCATCCTTTGAGACAGACTCCATGGACGTGTTTCTTATTTTAACTTGTCGATGCCCGTACACTTTGTATCCACAATTTCCACCATATCTTTTTCTTCCCTAGCGAGACGGATTACCCTCTGAAATATTTACATTCCGGTAATCCTGAGATCCGGACGAAAACCAAGATGAAGTATTTTAATGACTTGCTTATGTCCTAATTAAGTAATAAGGACATGAGAGGTGTAAAAGCGTGCGAAGAATAATACTTAATTGGGGGAAAATTGTCAAAAAAGTCATAAACGTGTTACACTTTTGCCAATTCAATCATAAACCTTTTAAGTTTGTCAATTCAGTCCCAAACCTTTTCATTTATTGCAAATTTAGTCCTAAACATTTTCACTTCTTGCCAATTGAGTCCATCCGGCCAGCCGGCGCTAACGTGGCTGCCTGTAGGCGCCGGCCGTTCGGGCAACGCTGACGTGGCAATTTTTAAATTTTTTTTCGATTTTTTTAATCTTTTTTTATGCCCTTCTTCCCTCTAGCTGGTCCGACGATCGGCCGGAGGTGTAGGCCGGTGAGGTCGACCTCGCCAACCTCTAGCAAAGCTCGCCCTCGCTGACCACTGGCGAGGGTGAACCTCATTCATCGCTACTAGGCCGACCTTGCCTAGCCAAGGCGAGGCCGACCTCGCCGCCTTTGGGTGAGGTGAAACCCAGCGATGGCGAGGTCGGCCTTGCCTTGGCTAGGCGAGGTCGGCTTGGCAGCGGTAGGTGAGGCTCGCCCTCGCTAGCAGTCGGCGGGGGCGAGGTCGGCCTGGCAGCGGCGACAAGGCTCGCCCTCGCCAGCGGCCAACGGGGGCGAGATTCGCCAGAGGCGGCGAGGTCGACCTTGCCGGCCTGCATCTCTGGCCGGTCGCCGGTTGCCGAACCGGCCAGAGGGAAGAAGGCAGAAAAAGAAAAGAAAAAAATATTAAAAAATTTGAAAAAAAATATTTAAAAATGTTGCGTCAGCGCCGGCCAGCCAAAATTGGCCGGATAGACTCAATTAGCAAGAAATGAAAAGGTTTAGGACTGAATTGGTAAACTTAAAAGGTTTAGAATTGAATTGGCAAAAGTGCAATAGGTTTAGGACTTTTTGGATAGTTTTCCCACTTAATTGGTGTTGAAAATATCTCGTGATATTCCATTTCTTGAGCTTTTTATATAGCCAAGAAGAGGGAATTTCTCACTTTTATATGTGGTGCGTAATTTTTGTTAAAATGAAAAGGATATTGCAAGTAGCAGAAAAGGAAAAGAGCTACTAATCTTTCTTATGCTATATGGCCCATGATAAGGAATGGGTTTACACAGAGGTTGGGAATAAAGAATGATTGGCCGATAAAAGAGGAAATTAAAAAATAAGTACTTCTGTGCTCAGTTGGATTCATGTGAAGAATTAATGTTTACTATAGCTAATTATAACCTAGGAGACCACAAGTGCTATGATAATCGATTGTTAAATTAGTACCTAATTAAGTTTAAAGGGCAATGATTTAATTAGACAATCATACTGAATTAGATCTCAAATTTAGACTTACAGTAGCAAATGCAAAAGTTAAGCATCATATGTTAGTCCTATTAACCACCTTCTTTTTTATTACTACGACGGTTGATGAATGTTTTTTTCCCTTGATTTAATGCTTGATAGAATAAATTGTAGCCTTATTGGGAGATAGATAAGCACATTTTATTGAAATCACACAATTATTGGCTATTTAACTGTATTTCTGTATTCGACAAAAAAAAACTGTATTTCTGTAAAGTAAAAAATGTACACGTTCAAGAAAAGCTAATTTAATTAACTCACTTGTGGATGATATTAGATAGAGACCTGCGTTGTTTCCTTCACTTTTGGGCGTTGAGCTCTCTCGTTTGTCATTTTAGGAGTCATGAACAAGTGTACAAATTAGTAAGTTGGAAATTTTTAAAAGGGTTAATACCATGGAAAATTCAAACTAGTACGCCTATGACAAATTTATCCCAAACTAATATTTTGACCAAAAAAAACCCAGAACCGGTACATTTGTGACAAATTTATTTAAAAACTAGTACATTTGTGATAAATTTACCCTCTATTAGTTTTCATTAAATTGAATTGATATAACGAAAAATCACAAAATCTAGTACACATGTAACAAATAGAGCGTAAAGCCCCAAACTGGTACACCCATCAACTAACACGTGCCATCTAAGTCAATAATTTGACAATAAAATTTAACAGAATCTAACTGAGGGTAAATTTATCACAGGTGTACCAGTTTGAGGTTTTTCGTGGTAAAAAAATTAGTTTGTAATAAGTTTATCACAAACATATCGATTTAAAGTTTTTCGTGGTATTAAGCCTTGTGAAAAAGAAGTATTCTGTCTACATTGCAATAATAATGGTGTGCTATTTCGTTCAACTTTTCTACATATATAGTTATTTTTAAAGTATCCCACATCATTTAACTGATCTACGGGATTTATATACTTTTTATATACTCGCGGTCTCCTTCTATCTATATATTGTTTTTTCACTTTGAACGAAACAAAGTCAAGCGTGATAAGCTTCGGTCCATGGCATGCTATGCTGAGAAATTGCTTAAATCTTTCATTGTGGGGTGCTTCTACACCTTTTTCTTTTCGGCCAGAAATGCGACTAGACCTAAAAAGAAGACGCTTTCTTTTTCAGTTTGGCACCGTAAATTTAACGTCGTGTGGAATCTATATCTACCATCTAGAATTGGGTATTGATATATACTCAACTAAAAGGCAACGAGGGCACGAGGACGTGCTAAATTTAGGATAGTGTGGCTGCTTGTAACAAAGCAAAATGAAAAATTCTAATGGGGACTAGTTGATCACCGGCCAAAAAACATTTCAAAAATTTAGGTCAGTTCATTAGGGAAATTTTGCATATGAATTATACAAACAAGTGTACCCAATCGGTCGATATTTTACTGATTAATTACCCCCTATATAAATAAAAATAATGCCCTAGTAAAGACTCCGGTCCTAATTAGTAGTAGATGAAAACTAGGTCGAAGCAATGCTAGAGCAATTGTGCCATTTTAAGGCTAATAAAGTCCGGGAGCTTGTGCCGAGACCAAAAGATCATCACGTGATAGGAATCAAATATTCTCTGCAATTATTGACCAAAAGAGCATGATGTTCTTCATGAATCTTCGTCTTGTCCAGAGTTGCTTTGCCTGATGTGATTTTTCTCATATCAATCGAATTTCCTTAACAAAAAGCAAATCACATATGAGATATTTTATTGATTAATTACCTCTTATATAAATAAAAATAATGCCCCAATAAAGACTCCGTTTCTAATTAGCAATAGATGAAAACTAGGTGGAAGCAATGCAAGAGCAATTGTGCCATTTTAAGGTTAATAAAGTCTGAGAGCTTCTGCCGAGACCAAAAGATCATAACATGATAAGAACCAAATATTCTCCACAAATATCGACCAAAAGAGCATGATATTCTTTATGAATCTTCGTTTTGTCCAGAGTTGCTTTGCCTGTTGTGATTTTCTCATATCAATCAAATTTCCTTAACAAACAAACGAATCGCGTGTTGGAATTTCATTCGATAATTTCAACCCGTCATGTCTAGAATATCCCGCATCACGAATAAAGATCGTTGACAAAATTTAATTTAAGGCCATGCTAAGAAGAACGAAACAAAAGGTCCAGAGCATAAATATTTCCTGCCTAATTAATCGTAGTCATGTTGTAAGGCAACGCAAGACTTCATGTGCACGTTGGACCATGACAAAAGTGCTCCTATTATAAGTTTTCCAGGCAGAACTACGTGAGAGTCGTCCACGTCATCGGTCAAAGTCTACTAGATTTTCAGCGTGGGTCCCGCATATTGGTTGCTTCCTAGGAATTGCACTGCATGGAAAAGAACTTGGGATGTGATTCTTGTCATGTCGTTGTCGTCCACTACGGCTTTTGTGTCGTGTTTTTCATTTCATTGAACATGTTCATCCCGGTGAATCACTTCATCTTTCTCGACTTTTTGGGCGATGCCGAGCAATAATGGAGAAAAATATTGAATGACTCGCAAGCATTATGTCATCTACAGTGACTTGTGATTTTTCTTCGTCAGCGTATGTTTGCGCATTTGAAATGACTTGACCATTTTGTATTCTATCGAATTACCATCGCGGGATCACCATGTGAGAAAGAATTTAGCGGATTCAATAAAGTGAACCGTTGGTGTCTGTGCCTTAATTCAGAAAATCAACACCATCCTTCTACTTTCTTTTTTATTCAAAATCATCCAAGTGCTTTTAAAATTGTCATCCTGATCGATTCTGTGACGGAATTTGCTGACGTGATGTTAATATCATAGGAATTTGCTGATATCCTTTAACGATGTTAGAATTTTGTTGATTTGAAATATTTTGTACTTTTATCTTCAATGTTCTCCCTTTTTCTCCTTGCGGCTATCATCATTAATCATCTTCTTCTTCAACCTGAACCCTTCCAAATTCAAACCAAAATCAAAAAAATCTAACATCCCCACCAATACAAATCCTTGATCAGCCATAGACTCCAGACGATATGGCTAAGCTCAACGAAACTCGAAGT